GGAGCTATTGTCACCAAAGCTCATATGTAACAAATCTTTTGTGGACATTTTCCCTGGGATAGTCCTACGCATGGAATTGGTGGCTCAGAGGGACGGCACGTATGTGACACTGGCAGAAATGGGCACAAGGCCTTCTGAAGGGGCTGTGTTATCCACACCTTCCTGCAAGGCTGGCTTCTTTTTCAACAGTGTATCTGTGGCAAGTGGTACAACACTAGCCATGTAAGATGAAGGCCACCCACTGCTTTAGAAGGTATTCAGAAGTGTACCAGGTCTGAGACCCTTCCACGTTACTCTTTATTGTGGACACCTGAGTCGCAGCAGGTGGAACAGAGAAAAGAACTGATGTACAGCTTCTTAAATAGTTCTTACCACGGGTCTGAAAACTCTTGGCCGGGCAGACAATACATATTTGCAAATTTATTTCTTCTCTTTCTGCTAGAGGCCTGCAGTGCCTGTAGCTATTCTAGAACTTTGTCCATAGATTCAGCAAGGAGATGATGAGTGTCACAGGACTGGGAGAAAAAGGCGGAGGGTGGGGGGCACCCCCAGAGGTGAGCCCATTGAATAAACTAGTCACTCAGAGAAGCTATTTCTGCAAGGAAACTGTTGATCTTGTCATAGTCCCAACTTCCAGTGCTGAGTTTTGACAAGAAAAGCTTGCAAGAGCCTCATTTTGTGACATTAATAAAAGGGTGTTCTCAGGTGATAATGTATTTGGTCGTTCACTGATAGCTTTTCTTGAAAGGGCCCAGGAGGGAGGACAGGGAGAGCAGCCGTCCAGCTCTGACCGGTGGAAGATTTCGCTGTGTCTGAGGCGATTTCTAACCATCCCCGTCACATTTTCTCTGAAAGAAAAAGAAGATTCCCTGTGCCTCGCTAAGGCAGTACATCCAGGGGAGAGGAACGTGATGGTGAGAATTGGAAAAAGAGGGACAAACAGACAAAACTCAACAACCAAACAATTGCCACTGGCAAAATTCCTTTCAAGAATAGAAAAGAGGTCTTTTTGTTGTTGTTAGACAGTCTCACTCTGTTGCCTGGGCTAGAGTGCTGTGGCATCATCCTAGCTCACAGCAACCTCAATCTCCTGGGCTCAAGCTATACTCCTGCCTCAGCCTCCCAAGTAGCTGGGACTACAGGCATGCGCCACCACCATGCCTGGCTAATTTTTTCTATATATTTTTGGTTGTCCAGCTAATTTCTTTCTATTTTTCGTAGAGTCGGGGTCTCGCTCTTGCTCAGGCTGGTGTCGAACTCCTGAGCTCAAGCCATCCTCCTGCCTCGGCCTCCCAGAGTGCTAGGATGACAGGCGTGAGTCACTGTGTCCAGCTAGGTCTTAATGGTCACGTTGTTAGAGACACTTCCAACCCTCTGGTCTGAGTCAGGTCTGCTGCTCCGCACACGTTGATGTCACTGTGTGCTTAACCACGTGTCTCCCCCAAGAGCCTATCAACACAGTGAAGGGGAGTCCACGTCCCCAACGCTTAGCCTTGTGGTGTCCTTAGATTAGGCACCCAATGACTGGCCCAAAGTAACCAGCATTGCTTGTGAGCATCTCTGAACATTTTAAAAGTGAGGAGATCCGGCAGAAGAACCTTTGGGAGCATGAGCAGGAGGATGTCTTGGAAGGAAGACACGGAGCTCTGTGCCAGTCACAGAAGAGCATCCCTGGGATGAGACCTTTCTTCTAGAAACATCTTCCCTCAGGAGGGTCATTTAGCTGACAACAGCCTGCGGCACCTGCACCTCCAGGATCCACCAGTGTCCATACTCAGGCTGCTCTTCTGGAATGTTTCAGCCAACCCAGGGCGCCTCTGGGGGACAGTCTTTGCTCTGGGGTTCTCTGATAGCCTGGCCAAGGCCTCCTTAGAGCCGCCTTCAGCCAATGCTCCCAGCGCCCCTCTGTCCTTTTGAGGGTGTCAGAGTCCTTCCCTGCTGAGAATCTCTCTTGCCCTTAAGATGCCCCCTGGCGTCTGCTGTACCAGGACCCCACTGACCAACGGCCACCTACGGTCGGCAGGTATGACCGCGCTGCTTGCTGCTGTTTCAGCTGAAGGAACATTGAAAAAGACATTCTTCCTTTTTTTTTTCTTAAAAAAAAAAAAAAAAACCTCACTTAATGAGAAATTAACATTTGAAGATACAACTCCCAGAGCTGAAGAAATAAAAGCCATTTCTGAAGCGCAACAGAAATCCATATTGATTTTTCTCTTTACACATCTCTGTCATCCTTCCCAAGCAGGAGACTCTGTGAAGGGCGCAATTATTTATGTCCCTTCAAATTAACAGATCATTCAAATCCCTCATAGGACCTTCGACTGAAAAAGCTTACAGTGCCAATAAAAGTTTTTTTTAAAACTATTTCAAATGTCTATCCCATTCTGGAAGAATGACAGACTCCTACTCCTTTCTCTTCCCAACCAAAGCAAAACTCGTGTGGGCTTGAGTTCCTCTTCGCCTCCACCCGATTTTATATTTTGATATTTTCACTTATTGATGTTCACTTGATTCCATCACTTGCCTAGTATTTGCTGAGCACCGACTGTTCGTCAGGTACAGCGGGCCACAGAGACACGGCCTCCCGCCCTCACGAAGCTGACACTCCAGTAGGTGACACGGCAGCGAATGGACAAACATGTCACTCCAGACGTGTTTAAGTTCTTTGAAGAAACAAACTCGGGGCGATGTACCAGAGTGATGGAAGCGGGCAGGGGCGAGTCACTGCACAGGATAACTGAGAAAGAACTTTCCAAGGAGGCAAGATCTGACCTGAGACCTGAAGGCATAATAAGAGGGCGACACTCTCGGTACAAGCGAGGGAGGAGTTGTCCCAACAGAGGAAACAGCAGGTGCAAAGGCTGGGAGAGGTGGCACCAGGCAGGCTGGAGGAAGAAGAAAGCAGCGCTTCGCCTCCATTCTAGGCCCATGAGGGCTGGCCTGTGTCTACATTTTATTTTTTGAGACAGAGTCTCACTCTGTTTCCCAGGCTGGAGTGTCCTGGTGTCAGCCTAGCTCATAGCAACCTCCAACTCCTGGGCTCAAGCGATCCTCCTGCCTCAGCCTCCTGAGTAGCTGGGACTACAGGCATGTGCCACATCACCCGACTAATTTTTCTATTTTTGGTAGAGACAGGGTCTCGCTCCTGCTCAGACTGGTCTCAAACTCCTGACCTCAAGCGATCCTCCCGCCTCGGACTCCCAGAGTGCTAGGATTACAGGCGTGAGCCACTGCGCCTGCCCTTTTGTCTGTATTAATAAATGCTCCAATTCCCTGTTTTCACTATGCAGTTTGCAACATATTTTGGCTGAGTAAATAAGTGAACTTCCTTTGTAGGTAATGACTTTTTGCAGGTGGCCTCTGACTTAAGAGAGTAGGGCCAAAATCCCATCCCAGGTATCCCCATAACCACTCCCAGAGCCAGGTAAAGTATTCCCACATGTAACAGCCTATACCATGGTCTGAGTGTGTTCCCCCAAATTCCTATGTTGAAATTCCACCTCCCAAGTTCAAGGTATTAGATAATTAGGTCAAGAGGGCAGAACTCTCACGACCAGGATTAGCACTCTTGCTGAAATTGCGAATGGGAAAGAAGCAATGGAAACTTCCTGCAATGAAAATGTTTGTGGGGTGTTTTGGGTTACCCTGTTTTCCTTCTTTCACTAGGTTTATTATTGTTACCTGCTGCGTGAGTGACAATTTTTTTTGGAGACACTCTCTTGCTTGGGCTACAGTGCTATGGCATCAGCCTAGCTCACAGCAACCTCTAACTCCTAGGCTCAAGCGATCCTCCTGCCTCTACCTCCCAGGTAGCTGGGACTACAGGCACACGCCATTGTGTCCAGCTAATTTTTTCTATTTTTAGTTGTTTTGGATAATTTCTTTCGATTTTTAGTAGAGACAGGGTCTTGCTCTTGCTCAGGCTGGTTTTGAACTCTTGGCCTCAAGCAATCCTCTCACCTCGTTCTCCCAGAGTGCTAGGATTACAGGTGTGAGCCACCACACCCGGCCTGTGAGTGACAATTTTGAGAACAGAACAATCAATCCAAAAATCTTACTTGCTTCAATTGAACCCTAACAACTCGTTTTAGTTTCCCTGAAAGAGAACGGGGAAGAGGTTTGCTCAGCTCTACGGAGTTGGCTAATGTCTAAAGACAATCCTCCCCCAAAGGTGTGAAGACATTTTATTGCAGCTGCGGAGATGGAGGGAGATTTATTATGGTTCCTAATGCTATTTCTGTCAATGTCTTTGGAATTCTAATTAGACTGTTAAAACTTTGCAAATCATTACATCTAGACTCCATACCTCACTAAGACAAGGATACTTTTGAAATTAGAGGAACCTGCTGTCACAGGTAATGATGCAGTGCTGATAATGAAGTTGCAGGGAGATTCTTCCAATAAAAACCAGTTGGAAAAGACAGAATCCATTTATCTTACTTTCTCTCCCAGCTTCATGCCCGGGGATAAGAGGTCTGCCGCACCGAACAGCAGCCTCGCCTTTCTTTCCCATTCTAGCAGCTGCATGAGGTTTGTTCACACGCTGCAAAGTTTTTAATAACTTCTTAAATAAACTTAATAAACAAAGTTTTAATAACTTTCATGGATACTTAATTTTTTCCCCTACATCTGAGACACAAATGAAAAAACTGTATAAATGAAAAGACAATGGAAAGAAGGATATTTTGAGGGGAGAGATAGGAGACCCATGGCAAGCTCAACGCATAGGAATAGTACATCTTAGGACATTTTGATTTATAACACATGCATTCGAAGCGGTACCTGAAGAGAAACAAATTGCTCACTGTTCACCCAGACCCATTTGCAGGTAATAAATGGGCGTGCTCTTTACCCATCAAATAATGGCTCTAATGCCCTTCAGCATCAGTAGATGAGGAATGGGTGTCACCCTCTGTCTTCTGCAAGATAACCTGATTCCTTTAGGTGGGGATCTGAGCCCTTCACATCCCAGCAAAAGAAAGTGCATGTGTCGTACTCACCGTGATGTACGACGCCCTTCAACCCATGGATAATAGGATCCAGTGCAGAATTGTCCCTTGGACTGACCTACATGTAAAGGAAACATGATTGGTTAAATCTATTCTGGCATCAGACACAACAGCCTCAGTTTAATCTTCTAAAGAGAAGGGGGGGGTGGAAATAGATGTTATCAAGCACGCTGCGTGGATCTCACATATACCATGGCGCTCACCAAATGCAGGAGATTTATGACATAATAAAATCAAGTGAGGAAGTCTAAATCAAAAGAGAGAAACTTCTCAGAATACATTATAAGAGGAGAGAAATACCATAGTCCTAGCAAAATCTTAAGAAGTAACTGCAAGACTTTCTTCTTGCTTTGTTTTATTAAAAGTAGACCCTGACGGGCGAAAAAGTCATTGGAAGTCATCAGAGAGCAATCCATCATTGACTAAATATTTCAGTACCTTCTGGCGATTGTGTTTTCCCTTTCTTTGGAGAAAATGGATCAGTTCTCTGCTAGCCTATTCTCCTTTGGAAGGACCCTGGTCCTCTGGGAAAAGTCACACATTCTAAGGGGCATTTCTGAGAGTAACGCAAAACAAGAGAGAGTGCCTCCCACCTTCATTTCCTTCTAGGGTCTTTAATCCCCCCAAAAGTCAAGCCTCTTTGGTCTTAATCCCACCCAATTTTCCCCCTTAACTTTCTCATACTACTCAGCAGAAGCTCTCAATCTTGTCCTTGTTCTAGAAGATTAAAATTCTACGTGCATATTACAGTTGTGGCTTTTGGCTACTTTCATATATATATATATACACATACACACACATATATACACACACACACATATATAAATATATATATATGAGAGAGAGAGAGAGAGAGAGAGAGAGAGACAGAGAGACAGAGAGAGAGAGAGAGATTTATAAATGAAATGAAATATCTAGAATTTGCTTCAAAACAATATAAGAGTGAACAGCAGGGGGAGTAAGTGGGGTACAGATGCCACAAGATTGCCCTTGAATCAATCATTTAATGACCTTGGGTTATCAGTATACGATGGGTCATGATACAATTGTCTCTAGTTTTGTGTATGTTTAATTTTTTCCAAAATTAAAGAGTTTTTTAAAATCCATCATCTGTGGTCAGACAACTCCTGCTCCCCCCTCTCCCCCGGCCGCCCCGCCCCAGGGATAGTGTTTCCATCGACTCCACTTCTAACATAATGAACTTGAGATATTTTTTTTTTTTTTTTTTTGAGACAGAGTCTCGCTTTGTTGTCCAGGCTAGAGTGAGTGCCGTGGCGTCAGCCTCGCTCACAGCAACCCCCTGGGCCGAGCGATCCTTCTGCCTCAGCCTCCAAGTAGCTGGACTACAGGCATGAGCCACCATGCCCGGCTATTTTTTATATACATATCAGTTGGCCAATTAATTTCTTTCTATTTATAGTAGAGACGGGGTCTCGCTCTTGCTCAGGCTGGTTTTGAACTCCTGACCTTGAGCAATCCGCCCGCCTCGGCCTCCCAGAGAGCTAGGATTACAGGCGTGAGCCACCACGCCCGGCCTGAACTTGAGATATTGATGAACCTTTCACTGTGTAGCTTGACCCAATTTGATGTTTCCAAGTTAGTTCGGAGGAATCCAGAGCCATCCCTAGGTTGAATTTTAATGTGGCTGGACATTCTCTATGCCCTTTCTCACCCTTACACAATTTCCCTGTTGGGTTGCTGCCCCTTATTTGTTCTCTCTGACAATAACCCATACTCCTCCACTCTGCCTCGGCATCTGTGGGTGACAGCAGTGGTTCTCAACTGGGGGTGCTTCTGCCCTCCCAGGGGGACATTTTACCAAGTCTGGAGACAGTTTTGGTTGTCGCAACTAGGGGGAGGGAGAGGCTACTGGCATCAAGTAGGGTAGAGACCAGGGTTGTTGCTGAACATCCTACGATGCTTGGAAAGACTCCCAACACAAAATGTCAACAGCATGGAGAAACCCTGGTTAGATGCTCTGTGAATTAACAGTGATTATAGCCTAACGTCTGGAGCCCTGAGTTACACCTAAATTCAGAACACAGGCGTCATTATACACAATGTCATGTTTATAGACTAATAAAGTCATGTGGAATTTGGTACTATATCGTAAACACTACAAAAAAAAAAAAAAGGATCAGTAGATGGGAACCTGGTGTATCAGATCACAAAGGTTGAATTCTGGGAGCTGGCAGGAATGTACATCCAAATGGCCTGAGGGCAAGCTCAAGCCAGGGGTTAAACACACTGGTTAAAGCATGAAACATTCTGGAAAAGGCAAACATGCACCACAGAATGCACCAAATAAAAATCATATTTGAAGAAAAATCATATTTGCACCACAGCAAGTATTTGATCAAAACTCAAAAACATGGTCAAAAAATGCAATCACAACTCCAGAGTATAAGATAAGAGAATCTAACCCGTACATGTGGCTAAATTTCAAAAGGCTAGAATAGAATAATATAAGAGCCCAGAGAAAGATTCTATATCAAATTGAAGTTGTAGGCAAAAAGCTGGTCTCTTCGATTCATGTTCATGCCAGTAGAATTACCTGTAGTTACTGTAATATCTGTGGGAGTTAGAATAAATGGCCACAAATTCCTCCCATTCCTGTCACATGCACCTGTGTAATTTGACTTTGCCCTGCCCCATCAAGAGTGTATGTGAACTTCTGAACCCTTTGAAACTGGGCTTGCCCACAGGACTCGCTTTGACTAATGGAAAGGGAGTGAACATTGCAGACAGACACTTGCAAAGCACTTGGATTCTTTGGAATCCTGAGAAGACCAGGTGAAGGATTCCAAGTTATCGTACTGAAGGAAGAGAGATCACGTACAGAAGACACAGGCTGAGGCTGTTCTAGACTCACCAGCCCGCCAGCTACCAGACAGGTGAGTGACTGTATTCAAGACCACCAGTCTCAGCTGAACCCTCTGGAGTCCACAGAGACAAGCTGGGCTGACCCTAATCAGACAAATTGACTAGACAACCTACCAAATCACAAAAACAAACAAACAAAAAAAATGATTTCTGTTTTAACCAATTGGATCATTTGTTATGCAGCAAAATTTAACTGTTAGAGTTTCTTTAAATGTGTGTAGAGGTGGAAGATGGGGGACAGGCCATGATATCAATAATTTTTTTTAACCGATACACTTTGCTTATGGTTCGTCTTAAAGGTTTCTCAATGAAACTACACATCACAGGACTGAGCATTTGCTATCCACCTGACCAACTCACACGGTCCTCCAAAACTACGTTATTCCTCCTGTATCATGGCAACATTTCTCAGATACTCTGATCTTCAATCCCAGCCGAGGGCCTATTTTGTAGTCAGGGGTTTGCTATGGTTTGGATGCATCCCCTAAATTTCATGTGCTAGAAACAATCTCTAACACGACGGTGTTGAGAAGTGGGACCTTCAAGAGGTTATTAGGTCTGAAGGCTCTGCCCTCATGAACAGATTATAGGCATTATCTCCAGAGCAAATTTGTTATAAAAATGAGTTTGGCCCCCTCTTGCTCTCTCTCAGTCATGTGATGCCCCTCCATCATGTTTGGTTATCACAACTGGGGTGCTGGGTGGGGGCTACTGGCATCAAGTGGGGTAGAGACCAGGGTTGCTACTAAACATCTTGTGATGCTTAGAATGACTCCTCACAACAAGGAATTACCTCTCCCAAGATGTCAATGGTGTGGCAATATGGCCCTCACCAACGCCAGCACCATGCTCTTGGACTTTGCAGCCTTCAGAACCGTAAGGCGATAAATTGCTGTTCATTAGATATTACCCAGTCTGTGGTATGCTGTTATGGCAGCACAAAATGGACTCAGATAGGAACTTTTAAATGCATTTATTCTTATCTGATGATATGAAGGCCCAAAGAAAGTGTTTCTATTCCTCCACGACTAACACTCACCAATAACATTTATAGACCATGCAAAAGGAAAATAAGAGGGCAACCTAGCTACTCCAGGTTCAATTTGTGGTCACTTCTGATTATAGCATCTCTGTGCCTGATACTCAGACCTGGCCTCATCTGAGCTGAAGGATTTGACCCCAGATTCTAAATGGAAAGACTTCTACAATGTCCATTCAGCTCCACAGCTGGTCTGTATGGCTGGGGTTGAGAAGAGGGATGAGGAGAAAGGGAGAGAAAATGGAGATTATTGGCTGGTCAAAGGAACTTACTAGTAATACTGAGCTCATTCTCCGGTCTATGTCTTGGTTCCAAAACTCAGGGTGGGGAATTCAAATAGCATGCTAATAAGTGGATTTGTTCCAGTAAGGCATAACCCTAACTGAAATAATCCCTTTCACTCACTGTTTCAATCAATTTGCCACTTAGGAAAAAAAAAAATTCATGAGCATAAGCTGAGCAATTTTGGCAGCTTTTAAACATGACAACAGTGAAGAAGGCTGTTTGAGCAACCTGTGTTTGCATTTCGTTCTCCATCCAAGGTGGAGGAGGCCAAGGAATAAGGGAAATATGGAATTCGGAGTCAGGCATCACCCTTCAAGCTTCAGTGTCTTCATCTGCAAAATGGGGATACACAAGCTCATAAGGTTGTTATGAGGATTAAAAGTCTAAAGCTTTGAGTGCAACACTGACTAAAATGCAGCATCCAATGAAGGGGAGATAATATGGGCAACAAGCTAAACACTCAAATTTAAATGAATGTCGAATAACATCGGTTTTATCCCTGAGCCCATCAATGTGCTTGGCTCTAAAAGTAATACCTCCTTGAGTTCAACTTTCGAAAGAATTAAATTTTATGTTTTATTTGATATCCACGCAATTTTGTAATATGCTGCTCCTTTGAAAGCCACACGAGGCGTTTTCCTGGCCCTTGAAATTTGCTTCCTTCCACTTTAAGATCAAAGGAGTTACATGGTAATACTGAGAAGGCAGCAATTGCACAAATGAGCTTAAAATGGACTGGAAGAAACAGACACCCCCTTTCCCTGCAGAGTTAGTGCTCTCACTGCAAAACTTAGCTCCTGGCACTTGCACTTCAGAGGAGCTTTCATGGCATTAGTCATCTTCAAAAGGAT